AATTTTTTTCCTAATAACTGTTCTAAACCTATTCTCTTTCAGTTTGAAGCCATTCCCCCTGGACCTGTCACTACAGGAGATGCTCCAGTTACACTTTAAGTTGTATTTAAAGAGAGATGCTCCAGTCCCTTAATCATCTTTGTTGCCCTCCGCTAGAGCTGCTGCAGGAGCTCCATGTCTCTCTTTTCCTGAGAAGCACTGACCTGGGCACAGCACGCCATGTGAGGCCTCATCGGGACTGAATATACGGGCAGGATCACCTCCCTCGACCTGCTGTCAGTGCTCTTCCTAACGCAGCCCGGGATACCATTGGCCCTCCTGGCCGCCGGGGCACACTGCTGGCTCACGGACAGCTTGTTGTCCACGAGGATGGAATTCACAGAAGTTATCTGTATAAACGAAGCCCTTTATGGAGTCCGTACATCCCCGCAGCATTATGGATGTCCCCTGTACGTCCCCACAGCCGAACGGATGATCCCATAGGCAGGTGTCTCCGAGCGGGAACGCCGGGCTCGCAGCGCCCTCTGCGCGGGCACACGGGAACTGCAGGCTCACGGCACGGAAGGGGGAACACCCACCAAAAAATCCAACTTCACCCGCGTCACAAACCTGCTGTTACAAGGGCGAACTCCCATCGTTGCATGTTTCATGGAGGAAAAAAAAAAAAAAAAAAGTTGGGGTTTTTATTTGCAGTATTTGCCTGCTGCTTGCTAATAGGCATTCAGCACCAACCTGTCTTCGCTGTGATGCGTTTTTAGCATCCAGAAATGACAACGCAGCAGGTTTCCCCACATCAAAGCTCTGACAGGAGTCTTTGAACTACAAAAGCCATAATCAAAAAGTAATAAAATCCACCCTGAGACAGGATTTGTGTTGTCAGCCTCATGCGGTATGAAATGGCATCTTTTAGCACTCATTTATATTTAATTCAAAGTGAAAGGAGCCAAAATGAAAATATTGTTGTCTAAATAGATACTTTCTTGTATATTCCCACAGTAACACATGTGTTCCTAATTTGCAGGAAATAGATCCTGAAAGCATTAGCTGAGACAAACTGCTAAATTAATAAATAGTGATAGTCCTGTTGTTAAGAATAATAACCTAAAGATGCAGTTTGTTATGACATCCAGTAAACATTCTTCTTGTAGTACATCAGTAACTATGCACCTCTCTCTTTTTTTTTTTCTTTTTTAATCCTGTTACTGTCCTATGTGACAAGGTCTAGTGTTTGGAGTTTCTTGTGCTTCTACATCACAAGAAAAAAAAATAAAATATATATATATATAAGATATTCATCCCCTCTCTCTATTTCTTCTCAGCTTCTAGTAACTTCACAAAACCAAGCCAGAGGCCTACTTCTCTCTCTTCAGAGATCTCATAGGAAGTTATTTCTTCCAACTGTTCATTGAAGAGCATCCCTAGGAAAGAAGGTGCAAACTGACAGTCTGTCTCTGTAGCACGATAGGGAACATCTCCCTCAAATGCTACCATTTTCAGGGACTATCCCCTCCCATTCCATCAGGACTGTCAAGGCCCACAAGCCACCAGGCTCAACCTCAATAGACTTCTGGTAGGACACTCATCAGCTGGCAACATCCGAGTCCCATTGTGTTTTCTTTCTTTGGCTGTCCTTCTCTTGTGACAAAGGAGAGCTCAGTTCCAGCCTAGACCTGAAGAACCTGACAAGGTGCAAAGACATTGCTGCAGATTCAGAATGTCAGGATGAGGTAAATGTCTCTCCTAGCTCATGGACCTTGAGTCACAGTGGTCATACTTACAGTGGCACTTTGCCACTTCCCCACTACCTTAGGACTGTTTAGCTGTGTCTCCTGACAAATCAAAACCAAATGTCATTAGAATCAGCTGTTGGCATTCAGATCCTGCTTAGCTTTTGTAGTGTTGCACAAGTGCTAGCAGCAGTGGGCAACCCACTTCCAAAGACAGAACACTCACTACAAACTTCGCTGGAGGACACAGTGATGATCCTGTCACTTGTTCTGTTATTTATTCCTTCTTGCTTAGTTTCCTGCTAATCTGCAGTGGGAAAATTTGTATTAGGCATTCATTATGACTCCAACCAACAGCAGACTCTGATCTTGCTGAAAAAGAGGTCCCTTTCTGTGCAATGCTGATGCTTCAAAAAATGTTACCTAGTTGCAGTAATATAAAGGTACCACGCTATTAGGCCATATGTTAATTCCATATGTGTATTACTGGGCTCATTTGTTACTGCTCCAATTTTTTGAGAGTTCCACCTATTTCCTGATAAATCCTTTCATGAATAAAACAGTATCAGTCATGACCTCATTGCCTATTGTCAAAAAGCTGAAATAATGGAAAAACTCTCAAGTCATGTGCAGAGGATTGTAATTCTTTGCTGCTATGCATCAGAATGTAGTAGTGAATTCAGGCAACCAATTCAACATTTATCTGGACAATAAAACAACATATGGATATTTCCCAAGAGGCACAGGGCTTAACGCCAGTGACATGCAGTTAAGAATAATCAGTCTGTCCTAATGATCTCCCCGTAAGTTGTTCAGAAACCTTATAACAAGAGAAACCCATCTTTGTCAAAGATGATTCTCAGCACAATCAATCAACAAGGCATGCAACTGAATTCTTGCTATGAGAGAAGAATCTAGCAAAATTCCTAGAAGGAATTCCTTAAGCTCAGGAATCAGATTTTTGAATTGTGGAAAACAAGTGGCTTATTTCCTCAGCAATCAGTTTCCCAACCAATTGCTGCCAGTCTCATAGAAGTAAGATCTATAAAGTAAAAGAAACACTTAATGATTGCTAAAATAAAGAAAAAGCTCAGTGTAGATGAGCTTACAATTTTTTTACCCAATACTTTCCTTTTAGTAGTCTTCAATACTTCATCACCAGTTCCCCTAGTGACTATAATCTTCAGAGCTCAGCACTGGCTGAAACACCAAATATGTCAATCAAACCACATCCATCCACCAACTCTTCAGCTCAGCTGCTTGACTTGGTCAGAATTCACTGTCACAGCACTACTCATTCAGTACCCAAGGTGTTGTGGCTTGCATCATCCCTGTGGGGGTTGAGCTTCCTCCCCATGTTTGGAGAAATTCCTGATGAAGAGCACAAGGGTACTCACCAGATACTCTTTTAAATTAAAATAGTTCTCCATATGACAGCACCTTATTACCTGCATCTGCTCCATGTCTCAGTACCAAAGATCTCAGCTTGTCATTAATACTTGAGTCATGTCACAGTCAGTTCAGGGAAGCTGCAGTTCAGAGCAATTTCAACTTGCTGTGGGCCTTCAGAGTCATACTTAGAGATTTTCTCTTTTCTTTTCTCAACTCCTTGTTACCAAAGTTTCTGAAGGGCAATTCATGGCTGCTGAAAACTATCTGGTTTTCTTTCTAAATGCTTCTCACAACATTTTCCTAACATGTTAAGTCTCATGGGAACAACAACTTCACCCAGAAGAGCTAGCAAGTTCTGTGCACTTCAACTCAACCTACTTATACAGCCTTTCAGAGAGGGAAAAAAGTGCTGTTACCTCTGCCTAACTCAATTAGCCTGTGTTCTGACACAGACAAATTGCACGCACTTCGTGATTTCATGAATTTTGTTTCACTGCATCAACATTATTCATGCTAGTGTAAGGAGGGTGGAAATGTAAGGCTAAAAGGCCACCATATCACAAAAATACCAAAATAATCACGTGTGTCTGGATGGGCCCAGAATTTATGCTTGTGCATTAGCCTCTGTGACAATTATGCACACAAAACATCTCGCATGTTTCCAAAGCAGCCCATATCACCTTATCAAGGAGGCAGTACAACTACTTAACGAATTCTGAGCTGGCCTTGGGATGAAGCCTTGGACTGAAAACAACCACCACAGTTCCCAGGCTCAGAAGATCAATTAAGAAGCTCCAGGGATAGTACCAGAGACTGACACCAGGATCCTCTTGCTCAGAATGCAAGGTAGTGGTGTCAGTGCACAGTTCAGATGGATGCTGCCACTTCAAACCAAGTCCTAAACCTCACCTCATCTGCTAACAAGTACAGCAGCAGCTGCACTGATTGACAGTATTCCTTTGAAGGGACAAATTTCATTTGGCAACTACATCACCTATGGTTTCCATGGCACGGACATTTAATTTATATGAGGCACTATCAAGGCAAACATTACTTTTTAGGGGCTAAAAGTGGAACAGCCTTGAATCAATGAAAAGGGGAGAAAACATTCCTAAACTTACACTCAGACGTTACACTTCAAGATTAATTATAATATTAATCTCAATTGATAAGCTTTACTGATTTCTCAAATGCCACTCATTTATTTTGGAAATCATGGAGGAATAATTGTATTAGTTTTGTTCAGGTATGCAAATATTTTTTAAAAAAACTGACCACTTTCACAAACATACTTACAACTTTGGAGATCGAACATTTGGAAGTTACCTGTTAATGAGGTATTACAAATACATATTGTCCCATGCTGTTTTGGAATTACATTCTAGTAGGTCATCACTACAAATGCATGAGAAGTCAACTTAATCCTTAGATTTTGTCCACCCCAGGAGTAAACAATTAGTCCTAATGAAAGGGACTAAAGCAGTTGGAGCCAGACTGAGCCAACCAAATGATCAGGCAGCAGTAACAGTGTCCCAGCAGCAGCCTAAATGAGATTCAGGCAAGCAGCCTAAATTTAATAGTATCCTTATAATAGATGAAAAGCACTGGCTTGACTTTCTACCCCAAAAATCAAAACTACTTTATAAAAAGAATAGTGTTCTGATCCCCAACTTTCCAAACAAGCAAAAAGACTATCAGGCTCCTGATTACAAAAACAAGAGTCAAAGAGGCAAATCTGCCAGTATTACACCTAGCACTCCAAAACATGCTTGCCTCTGCTGCTTCCACAACTGTAGTTTACCTCTTTTCCCAAGGCACTGTTGCTCTCATGCCCTGCAGAATTCTAGCAGGAGGGGAGAAGAAAGAGCAGAGGGTGCTTACAGATGAAAAAGACTGCACACTCCATCCTGGCTCCACTTCTGCAGTCAGAAACAAGTGTTCAAGAACGGTTCTTAGTTACTGCAAATATATTTACTGAGTCTGTTAAATGGCTCAAGTTTGAGTTTCCAATGTAGAACCTCAGGGTTAGGGTTGGAAAGATACAAAACGTTAAATTAAAAAAAAAAAAGATTACTTTCAGAATGGACAGTAGATATCTAGGAATTTTTTGGCTGCAGGCTTAATAGAGACCTCTGAGAGAGTTCAAAGTTTCCAAACTAAAAAGGGTATGAGTTATCTCAGCTGACTTCAAATGCACGAAAGAAAACAAACAAAAATGTTGGTGTATGTGGCAGGGTAAAGAAGTACTTAAGGTTACGAGAAACAGAGGGAGCAAAGAAATAAATAGTGGCATCTAGTTTCTTCTAGTGTACCATGCTTTGACTTCTCTTATTCTGAAAGCAAAAAGAAGCAGGTACTCTTGACCTTTATTTCCTGAATCCCTCCTGCTGTCTGCAAAAATAATTGCTATTTCCAGCATCTGTCTCAGGAAGCCAAGTAAGTACCTTATTTTAGAAAAAACACAGGGGGAAAAAGTATTCTTGTATGTGCAATGTTCAGATGTAGGATTTAGGTATGTACTGAGCAACACTTGAGCAGATTTGAGCACACAAATAATTAGGAATCATTTCAATCCCTGTGCTTTTAAGCTAGGCCCTTGCCTTTTCCAGCTCTTTTCTTGCTGTCATAAAACCTACACCATCATGGGGCAATGACTGGTGACATCTCAACCACTGGGGTTGGAAAGTGTATATTGGCATCTTCTGCTCCTAGGAGAAAGGAGAGGTGGATCTCAGGGAATCCCCAGATTTACAGTGAGACACTCCAGCTTCTAAAGTTCCACCATGGAGATGGAACACAGTGGACATAAAACAATACAAAACATGGTTGCCCTATAGAACTACTAGGTGAATTTTTAGAAACATGGATAAATCCTTATGTATCTTCTGCCCTTTCCTGAATATGCTGACAAGTCCTCTGTTCTCTCTAGGAATCTCCCTTCATTTCCTTCTGTGCCATACAAGGCTTCCGTGCTTGTAACAAGGTTTTTATTTCCATCAGCCTAATTTTTGTGAAATTGGATCATTTGTTGCCTCTGACTTTAAAAGCAGGAGTACAGAGGGCAATAAGCTTATAAAAACATTCATGATAAAAATGATTCAGAAGTCCAAGTGACAGATGAAAAGCAAACAGGAAAGCCAACATCAGAAGAGACCTCTTGAGGATTTGCAGAGACTGCACAAATGCATGTGGGAAAGGAGAATTTAGGATTAGGAGGTAGCATCTGTAAAATGCCTGTAAAATCAAAATTTCTCATTGTGAAAGAAGTTGCTTGAACTATGCCTTAAAGGTTTCTAAGAAATGACTGCGTTTCACCCAGCCAGGCTCCACAGATTGTTGGGTAAACCACAGCATCTTCTAAACCTTCTTCTAATTTCTGGTAACTTCTTTCCACCTGCCATCTTTCTTTTAATTCTTCACTTACTGAATACCAGTTTCCAAACAGCACAGAGCCAGCCCAGATCTACAGGATCACTTTAGAAGTGAAATTAGATTTGCTACTAGCAAGGCAAGCCACTAGAAGTATTATTTCCAGCAGAAAACAAAATTAGGTAGTCTTTTAAAAATAGAGGTGGATAAAATCCAAATACAAGTCTGTGCGGCTATCTCATAATCAATCTTTTTTCTTAACAGAGAATAACAGTCCTTTCTGAAGCCTCTTAAAGTTCCTACAAGTTACTGCAGCAGAGGTCATGCGTACACTGAAGCCTAATGTCTTTGATGACATTAATAAATGTTCAGAATCACCAAGTGTACATCAATTTAAGTAATTCAAATCCAAATAAACCCATTTCAAACCAGCTGTGGCAACTGGGTTTCTGTAAAGTCAGCTTGGCCATCAAGCCTACTATGGATCCAAGCACCTACTTCTTTCATCAATTTTTGAATACTCTTAAAACGTCACAAATCAGCAGAAGCCAACGTGTATCAAAGCCTCCACATCAAGCAAAGCGACATCGTTTCGCTTCACTTTTGCAGTCAATACAGGTGTTTGAATTGACTCTTTGTAATACCAAAAGTACCTTCCACAACTCACTACACACGCTGATGAGTAGCCAAGGTTCACTCTCACCCTGATCCCAGGAATAAGACTGTATTTTGAGGAGCCTTGTTCTGAAAGGAAGCTGGGGTTTTGCAGGGATACTACAACAGATTTACTATGGACATATACAAGAAAAAAAAAAAAAGAGAAAATAAACAATGAAGAACAACCACCAAGAACCCAGCCCCAACAACTCTAATCTAAAATAAAAATTTAGACAGATATTAAGCCTATACAATTAACAGCAGAAGTAAAATGAGAACATTTTGAAAGCACACTTAACTTTGTAGCTTCATACGTTCAGTGCTGGTTTTGGCCACATTATAATCACTGCATTAATAAAGATGAGCAAATTTCTAGCTTAGCATTAAGCATTTAAGCTTTTGAAATACAAATCTTCCAAAGAATAATTTTCAATTCTTCATGATACAACATGCAATCAAAATTAAGCCCGTGTATTTACACCCATCATTTTAAAGAATGTTTTAATGCTAGCACACTTGGAATTAAAGCCTTTCAGTAAATACAGGAAGAAGTAACACAGCGGTTTGCAGATGGGTTTCATGGCTTTTTTTTAGGCTCAAAAGTTTTGATTAAAGCTGATTTTTGAAACAAAGTACCACATGTAGCTGGTGGGAAAAGCACAGAAATAATTTAAGTAGTTGTCAATATGTTCATCTTTGAGTATTGCCAAATTTTCAAAAGCCTAGTTCTTTCAAATTGTACCATTCATACTTGAATATTATACGCAAGCAGTAAAATTTTGCTTTGAATACATTTTGACCAACATTTCAAATACAGATTGCAAGGTATCTTAAATGTCACATATGACTTGCTCAGCATTTTTCTACATCCTCTTGGTGATAACTCTGGAAAAAAAAATTAGATCTTGGATCTCGTTCGCAAATATATGAAACATATATTGTTTAGAAATCTCTCAAATTCAATTTGTTTAACGAAATATTCAGAACAGGTACAAGGTCAAAGAAACACTGTTTTCTTTGACTTTCCTTCTTTCCAAAGAGTTCTTTTAAAGAACTTTCTTTCCAAAAAGTTCCTTTTAAACAGAAGCATTACTAAAGGAAAATGGATGACATCAGATTTTACTTTTCTAAGAGTTGTACCAGTTTTTCAACTTCTGTACGAGTATTCATGTATGCAAATATAACGCAATTTATATGCAGAACGTAGAATATATTTTCAGCTCACTCATTCTGTAGCCAAGTCAGTGTTAATTAAATAAGCTAATGTGTGAAAGACTAGATAAAAGTTGCACCTTATAAAACAAAAACAGATGTTTTAACTTATAGTTTTAATATAGCAATCAAAGAAAATTCCAAATACTGTACAGTGAAGTGTAGTATAGTACACTATATACTGTTATAATACACTATTGTTACATTACAGATAAAAAAATCAAATATAATTAGTACAGCAATCACAAATAAAACAAACCAAACCTTGCTGGATAACAGCCAGTACTGTGAAGATGGTATAGCTTCTATGCTAATTTATTTTTAATTCAACATGTAAAGCACTTTTTAAAAAGTTTTTTTTCTAAATATATACACTATTTTAATTCCTATTTATACATTTTAAATAGCATTCCCTCCTAAAAGTGCACTCTTTCATTTCTTGGCAATAATCCTCATTGAACGTAAAATATTTCTGAAAATACCACTCTTCTTTCAATCTTTTATTGCTCAACCACAGGCATAAGGGCTCAGAGGGAATCCTGCATTCTAAAGATCTTAAGCAAATTCTTCATGAAGCTAAACTGATATCCACAAGCAAAACAAAGAAACCACTCACTGTTGTGGTTAACAAAAGGATCAACTTCGTATTCATATTATTATTTTACAATAGCATGTAGATTCTGATTTTTGAAAATGGAGCCAAACAAATGTAGAGATAACAGTGGTATCTTCCTAAATCATTCATTTTCCATACAATTCAGACCGAGCATCGCTCTCCCAATTGTAAGCATACAGTGGATTTTATTACCTGGCATTTTCAGAGCACTGAAAAAGTAGCAAGCAACTCTGCTAACCCTGTGACAGTGACAACAGACTCTACTTTATCAAAGATTGCAAATTAAGTATTTTGGTCTTGAAAGCATGCCTGCTGCACAGGGCTGTCAGCACACAGCCCTGTGGTGGCACTGTGCCTCTGTGCCTCTGCTGGAGTGTTCTGTCGGAGGCAACATCTAGCTCACATTTTGGAGCCAGCAAGACTAGTAAGCTATATGGGACTCACAAAGCCAACAATGCCCACTGCTGTTTTGTGACTACAACAGGGAAGACATCCCAAATATATTTCTTTGATTTCATTTGGAAAAAAAGAGAAAAAATTAGAGAAAGTGCACTATCAAAAATTCAACCTTACTAAGCAGCCAGCCATTTGAAATAGTAAAAGTCTTACATTTTCCTGGAAAACTGATCTGTTCTCCTGAGGTTTCCCATATGCTCATCAGCAACCTAGTATATTTCCCTTTTTATTTTCATAAGAGGCCTGGATTTTCAGTAACCATCTTTCCTTTAGGTTATACATACTAAGCCATAGTAAAGTTTCGGATTTTCTAATAATGTGTTTTCTTTGACACAAGATGCAGTGTAGAAGATGGTTGGTCTTTAGACAAGAAAGTAATGCAGGTAGATACTCAAAAAGAATTTAGAACCATGGCCTCTTTCCACAGGTAATTCAGTAGCAGGAATTTGGGTTGGTTCCTTTTATGTTTTAAGAAAAGGGCATCCTTCTTGACATTTGAAAAGTCCTATTGACACATCTTCACATCCACAACGAGCCAACGTCTTCCCTGCCCTTGTGCCCCATCACCATTTTCCTGACTAACAGGGAAATCTGACAAGCACAAGTACATGGGTGCTCCTAAGACAGGCACACAGATTTGCCTCAACTTACATTTGCACCCACTGCTAACAACCAAACGAAACATCTGTTCCAACTTGCACTTTGGTGTTCTTTATTTCACTTCTCCAGTCACACATCTCACCGCCATGTAGATGAAGTTTAGGTTCACTTCAGAGTATCAAAAGCCACCTTTCTCAAAACCACTGATACTAAATGCATGGGAAAGCCACATGAAATAAGAACACTGCAAAGAAACATGCACAATCCTGCTTTACACCAGAGGAACTCAGACCAGTGGATCTTGTGACTGACACCATTTTACCATTCCTTTGAGACCATCTTTTTTAGGAACTGGAGGGTTCTGAACTACTTGACTCCAGTGGGCCCAAGACAACACTAAGGGTGAGTCAAACAGAGCTATTATCTGTTTCTACTTCTAGTTAGTTAAGAAGGAAAATGTCAAATTACTGCTGAAATGGGAAGTGTGTCAAAACTAAACCAAGCCTTCCTCTTTACACAGTAAAAGGCACACAAACTTCTGCAGTCTTACCAGAATGGCATGAAAGAAGTGAGCATTTTTCATTGAACTAAGGGTGATGTGTAATAAACATTTCAATTTCTTTCAAACTTAAAATTCTCTCATATACACTGCCTATAATTTTTTTCAGCCAAGGAAGACTTTTTTTCTAAAGAAAAGGTTAAAACTTTCAAAGTGATGGTTACCTGGTCTAAACTGCAAGAGATCCAGGAGATTCCTCCCCCTCAACCTCTCCTGATTTAAACTCTTTCCCAGGAACATGCACTGCTATAGTTTTCAAAGCTTCACACAGTGACAAAGCACAAGCCTCTGCTCAACATTTTCTATATAGATGTAGCCTTCAGCCAGCTAGACTGATTCATGGGCGGCTAAATGTTTTCAGAAGTCATGGCAGGCTTCCAGCTGCTGCATGTGCATCCTGTTTCTCACTGAATAAGCCCTGCCAGTTAATCAGTGCATCAGCAAGGTCAGTTCTGGTGAGCCAACTATCTCATACATTCCAAGCTTCCAAACTGCTAACTTACTGGGTAGCAATTTGAGATCTTAACATTTTTCATATTTGTGAAAAGGTGTTCCTTAATTTTTACTTCTAAGTAGTGTACTAAATAATAAAGTATTTGTTCCATCTACATAAAAAGTTAACCAACAGAGGCATTTTAATTTACCTTGACAAAAGAGAGGGGCTATTATTTCAGTGACTTGCTTCATTTCAGTTTTCCATACAAAAATAAATCCTCCCTCATGGGACATTTTATCATACTAATGCTCAGAACTGTTTAAGTGACTAGAAATGTAAAAAGTGAGGAGACTTTTCTGAGTACAAACATATACAACACAAACCACATTAGTGAACTGATAAAAACCCACATGTGCACAAACACAGACTTCAGTACTTAAATGCTCTTAATTAATTTGAAGCTGTATTTAACATCTTTCATCCATTCAATGTTATTTCACCATGAGAGGAAGCAACAATAGTGCATTTAAATATGACTATGAAGATAGGAAGCAAAGTGCAGTATCAGAAACACATTCCATCCTTAGGGAGCAAGCACAATGGCTGCTTCTTAAAAACTAGCACTGCAGGTCTGATGAACACACTACTTAAGTGGATACCAGCTATATTATCACTGATGCAGGGAAATCTGCATCACAAACTGAAGTGAGGCTGAGAGAGGTGGGTAGTCTTTAAATACACTGAAACAGCATGTATTCCTTGTTCCCACAGAGTAAACACTGAGCTTCTAAAAGCTCGATTATCCCCCAACATTTTTGGATAATGTATGTTAGAGTAATTTCCTTCCAATAAATTCTTAATTTGCTCTTAAGAGGGCAGCTGTTATTTAATTTTTGACATTTCTAACCAATGCTAGTAATCCAAGTCTTTCAGAAGAAATGGATTTGCCAATGAACGTTTGTTGTTTATTGAAATTGCCATCTTCTCTCCTGTAATTGTCTTAAAAGTTGAACACCTGACTACCTCGGTATTTGGGAGGAAATAAAGACGTGCTATCACCTACTAACAGAGCACCAAAATGGTTGTGTTGGCTCAGACAGCCATGCATAACCACACCACATTCACTTCATCATATGCTAAGTAGCCTTTTTACTAACTTTCTTAAACTGACAATATGGAGAAATTAGAGTTTACTAAAGTTACACACATTCCAAGATTTCTGAGAGGCGTAAACAGCTCTATGAATGAAAAAGTTACTAAATTGGAGAAAGTGCCAGCACAATGTAATTAAAAGTACTGTATATGCTACATTATCAAATTTAGCAGAAGTTTAGTTTCACTTGCTTTTTGAAATTTACGTATAATTCATGTTTATAGTGTATTTTTTACTGGAATTAAGTACCTGGGACAGAATTAATTTTGTCACATTTCTAGTTTTGCCTGTTCTAGCCTTTTCGGCAACCTTAAACTAGCATGGTAAGAACCTTGCATGGGCTTAAATTTTAACACATTTAAGGAATTAAAAATTACAAAGAATTTTCAAGAACCCACGTGTACAGCAGATATTCATCTCAGTGCATTTCCTAATAACTAATTTACAGGTAACAGAGCCAGCCTGGGCAGCAGTATGGTAATATTGAAAGCTATTGCCAATCACACGCTTATCATGCACTGAATAAGATGATATAATCTTTGACATACATACAAGATTTAATAACTAATCACTTTGTGTGGCCCAGCCAATAAACATTACATTTGAACAGTAATTTCTTCTACCCTTATTAGATTTTAACCTATCAAGAGTGATCCATTGGCTCAGTTGCATTAGTGATTCCTGCATCTTGACTATCCATCTCCTCAAGCTCCTCAACAGAATTTCCCTTTTGTGCTTTAGACCTTGCAGGGAATGTTGTTCCCACAGAATTCACCACGTTACCATCAGTTGATTCGGTATTCAAGTGTTCAGTACCACCTGGTGCAGAAAATGATTCGGGTAAGCCAGCCTGAAAGCTCCCAGTTTTAGCAGTTGAACTCACTGCCTCTACTTTCCTTTGAGATACATCAACTGATGCTGACTGCTCTGTATTCTGATCCCGCAAATGTCTATCCATTGAAGCCTGAATAGAAGAGACCATTTCCTGCAACTTTTTTCTCTGTGCCTCAATCAGAGTGGGGTCAAGCTGCCTGCTGTCTCTCATTGTCACAACTCCCGGAGCAATTCGGATAAGCTCACTGTTACCAGAAGCAGCTGTGAATACAGAAGGCTCAATTTTAGCAGAAGGA